TACAGGATTTGAAACATGAAGGGCAATGTGACCTTACTTTTTACCCAAAATATTTTTCATAGACAATATTAGCTGTATTTTGTATGCTTTGGAGTACTATGATAAATATAATAAAAATGAGAAGCATTAACTTTTTTTAGATGTAGAAAAAACAAGATAATGAGAACTGGTCATTCCTTTTTGCTATTTTGGAGAAGATGAATTGAATAGAATTTTATTTTATGGATTAATTGCTATTTGATGTTCAAATAGCCTAGATTTTGATTATTGGTGGCAGTCTTTTCTTACAGAACTTTAATGAAAGTGAACCAAGTCTAGGTTTAGATCAGAATGGAAGACTGTTTAGAAAGCTTTGTAAACTGTCATGAATTCAATGATGGGAAAAATACGGGAGAAAAAACCAAGAGCATTAATGTGTAAGGGTGGCACTTTCTAAACCTCAAAAGAGACATGGCTGACATCTACAGGCAGTCCCCACGTTACAAACAAGATAGGTTCTGTGGGTTTGTTCTTAAGCTGAATTTGTTTGTAAGTGGGAGCCAGTATATTTTAAAGTGTAATTCCAGAAAAAAATATACATTTTAGTTTTGGATAACACGGGGAAGGGTTAATACCCCTGTGTTTTGGGGTTTTCTTCTGTCTCTGCCCTTGTTCAGAAGATTTCACCTCACTTTCAGTCCTTGTGATAATTGGATTTTCAAAAAAATGGCTTGTTGTGAAAACAAAGACTGGTGAGAAGGCTTTAAGGAGATAATGTTCCATCCGAGGGCTATATTTCTCTCATTTCCTGTTGCCTCACTCCTGTTCTTAACTGTGAGTCATTTGTAAGTCAGATGTTTGTAACTTGGGGACTGCCTGTACTACAATATTTTTCTTTTAGTAAGCCACCCAAGACAAATCAGAGTTCCTCCAAGAAAAGATTCATTGTCCATTCCACTACGTAAGACATGATGGAGAGCAGGTGCAGGAATTTCCATACTAGACATCTGCTGTGCTTTACCTGTACAGATGCTTTACCTTTTTAATAACCTAAAAGGTCCTATGGGAATATGGAACAACGGATGATGAGATTGGATCTTGATTCTACCTATGAGATGCTAATGAGATGTTATATTGATATTTGATTTATTATTTATTATGTCATTGTTTTAATTGTTTTTTAACTGTTTTTATGATGTTGAGCATTGAATTTTGCTATTATTAACTGCTTTGAGTCACCCAAGGGCTGAGAAAAGCAGTATATAAATGAAGTAAATAAATAAATAAATATGGAAATACAAGTGAATGAAAGGAAATATTTCCATTATGGGTTTGGCCCAAATAAATCTGTTCATCTTTATGTTTACCTCAAAACTGCAAAAGATGCTCAAGATATAATCCACATAATAGACTGGTTCACTGAGGTCAATTGATTCCTTCACCTATTTCTAAGTTGAGCCTAATTAAAGAGGAAGAATAGTCTAACTAGCTATTACAGATAAAGAACACTATCCAAAAGGTATTCCTTTTTAAAAAGGTGAAATACAGAAACTATTATACACTGAAAGGAGAAACGTTACTTAGCATGAATCTAAACTGGAGAACTCAGTCTGATATCACTCTAATTGTCATAACTCAATGCTATGGAATCATTGGATTTATACTTTTGCAGGGTCTTTCGCCTCTTTTGCCAAATAGTGATGGTGCCTCAACAAACTGCAAATCCCAAATACCATTGCATTCAGCTATGGCAGTTAGTGGTGTAAAAGTGCATTAATTCCATAAAATAGCCACGCCTCCTTAGGATCATTAAATTGGCCTATCAGGCCCATATGCATTTCACAGTGGAAACTGCTCACTACAGAGCATCCATAAGGCTCTCAACAAGTACAGGCTGAGTATCCCATATCTCAAATACAGGGTAAGGCAGCATAACTTCCTTTTTTAAAATGCATGCCATTCAGTCGGTTAAAGACGTAGCAGAGCGCTAGTGGTCTCGTTCCAGAGGCATGAGTATAAAGTTTTGTCCTGACACAGTTCAGTCGCCATCATGCGTTGGAACAGTGAGGAGAGTGCTTTTGCCATTGAGGCCTACTTATTGAACAGATTTGGAGTGGCCGGCCCGCTCTCCAGATTTGGCCCTTGTGATTTTTTTTCATGGGGTTTTTTGAAATCCCGTGTTTATGTGAACCGTCCAAGGACCCTACAAGATTTGAAGACCAACATCCAGGAAGAAATTGCCAACATAACGGCTGCTATGCTGGCAAGAGTCATGACAAACGCCAGAAATCGGTTTACTCAGTGTATAGAAAATGGAGAATGGGGGACGTCACCTACCTAATTTGATCTTCAAAACTACGTAAAACAAAACTTTAGGTATACGTCTACATTACAAAAAAAAAATGTGATTCATACAATGGGTTTTATTAAGTTTTTAAAAAAGGAAGTTATGCTGCCTGTATTTGGAGATTCTTGGACATGGGACCCATGTCTAAGCATGACATTCCCTTGTCTTCCATGTACACTTTATTTACAGGATATTGATGACAAGCTGGAACATGACCCAAATGGTCTGGAAGCCAAGTCCTAATAAAAAGCAGCTTAGGGAGCTGGGTATGATTAGCTTGAAGAAAAGAACGATGAGAGGGGACACGAAAGCTATGTTGGAATATGTGAAAGGAAGTCAAATAAATGATGGAACCAGCTTCTTTTCTGCTGCTCCAGAAACGAAGACATGGAACAATGAATTCAAAGTGCTGGAAAAGAGATTCCACCTTTTGAATAATGTATCCTATTATTTCATCCATTTTAATTAATATTTTAAAGTTTATACTTTTAAAAAAGGAGAATGTTAGTGATATTGAATAAAACAATATTAGAAAAAATTCTTGATGGCAAGAGCTGTTCAGTAGTGAAGTATCATATTTTCTACCTTGGAGCCTAGTGGAGCCTCCTTCTCTGGAGGTAGGCCTTGATTGGCCTGCAGGCACCCTTCCTAATTCTAATCTTAAGTAAATACCACTTATATGAGCCTATGAACAGAAGAGAGTTGGCCCTTGGAGTCTCTTTGGGTCCTTCCACACTGTTATATAACCCAGAATATCAGGACAGGATATCCCACTATTATCTGCTTTGAACTGGGTGATCTCAGTTGACACTGCCATATATTCAAGTTCAAAACACACAGCCCTATAACCCAGAATATCAAGGCTGAAAATCCTATAATATCTGCTTTGAACTGGGTGATCTGAGTCCACACTCAGATAATGTGGGATTTTCTGCCTTGATATTCTGGGATATAGGGCTGTGTGGAAGGGCCTTTCGGTATTTCCATAGATAGCCTGAAGGTATTTTAAAATAATTTTATACAGGAGACAAAGTGTATTTAGACTAGACCACCAGAATAATAATAATAAACTTTATTTTTAGCTCGCCCTCTCTCCCTGAAGGGACTCAGGGCGGCAAAAAGGGCAAACATTCAGTTATGTTAATACATAACAATTAAAAACCCTCAAATTATCCACAATAGTACAACACAAGAAAGCCAAGGTGTCACTCAATGTGGGCAATTTCAAAGGATTTTTGGATCAAGCTGTCATAAATTACTGCAGACTAGTAGGCCACACCAAAAAGAAAAAAAAAAAGAATAGGCCCTGCCTCGTCCGTTATTCCAGCGCAACCTTCAGGCCAAAAAGGGTGGGAAGAGAAATAAGCATCGTCCAGGAGACACAAAGGCCTCTTCCACACAGCTGAATCAAATCCCACATTTTCTGCTTTGAGCTGGATTATTTGGCAGTGTGGATTTTCCGAGCCCTATATCTCAGAATATCAAGGCAGAAAATCCCACATTATCTGTGTATGGACTCAGATAACCTAGGGCCCTTCCACACAGCCATATAACCCTGAATATCAAGACAGAAAATCCCACAATATGTGCTTTGAACTGGGTTATCAGACTCCACACTCAGATAATGTGGGATTTTCTGCCTTGATATTCTAGAATATATAGGACTGTGTGGAAGTGGCCCTCAGACAACCCAGTTCAAAGCAGATATTGGCCAGAGCGAAGACAGAAAGGAGCAGAAGACACTTCCATCTTGTCTTTACTAAAAATATAATATAGTATATTGTATATACATATAATATTTATAATATTATAATGTAATACAATATAATACTAGTAATAATTCAATATTATTATATATTTACATTACATGTAATATTACTAGTAATATTACAATATAATGGTACAGTATTATTACTAGTAATATTACAATATAATGGTATAGTGCAATATAGTAATATATACTGATATTGTACTATGCTAATAATATAATATATTGTATGATAATATATATTGTAAGCCGCTCTGAGTCCCCTTCGGGGTGAGAAGGGCGGCATATAAATGCCGTAAATAAATAAATAGATATTGTAGGGGGGTTTTTTTTCTGCCTTGATGTATATGGAAAGGCCCAAAGCAAGCGCCAAAGGCCCGGGGGCGAGGGATAGATAACACAAGACGCAGCTTATGCAGCAGCAACGCCAGCAGTGGAAAGGCCCCTCAAATCCTGCTTGCGAGGCCAGAGGGAGAAAAAGAAACAGCGCGCGAGCCTGCATGCGCACACTCCAAAGGCGCAGAGCGCGCGCGCGCCCTCGTCCCGTCCCCAGGATTCTATCCGCCGCGCGCGCCCGCCCGCGCGCCAGCCTCCCCCCCCCTCCCTTTTCCTCCCAGTGGGCGGGGCCGCAGAGGAGGAGGGGGGGGGACAGAGAGAGAGTTTTGGAACGCCAAGGCGCGGCCCGGAACACAAGGAGAGAACAGAGAAAGGAAGAGGAGACAGGGCCCCGATCCCGCCCTCTCTCTCTTCGTAGCCGTCAATCACCGCGACGCGTGCACGCGCACCGAGGCCTCTTCCCCTCCCCTAACCCCCTCCTATATTTTTTCTTTCCCCGTTTCCCTCCTCCTTGCTCTCTCCCTTCCTCCCTCCGATACCCCGCCGTGAGAGGCCCCAGCTCGGCCTCACCCCCGGCCCTCGCGCCGCCGTCGCCTTCGCCACCTCAGGCCCCGCGTCTGGTTCTCCCCTCACAGCTCCCTGGGCGCCATCTTACATTCAACCCGCCGCGGCCAATCAGCGGCCGCGCACGGGCTCGCGACAGCTCCGCCTCCAAGCCGCGCGAGAGCTCGAGCCCCGGCCCCGCCCCTCGCCTTAAAGTGGACGGGCGCCCTTCGAAGAGGGAGGGAGGCAGGGAGCAGAAAGAGGAGGAGAGGGACAAAATGGTGCATACATAGGTTATGAAGAGGAATGGGTATTCTATGTTCCCTGCAAGGAAATTATGGATTATATCCATTTATTTCCTCTGCTTTGTTATATTATTATATTTACCCTCCCCCCCAAACCTGTGCCACCATAGAGAGCCTCAATGTTCAGATTAAGAAGATACCAATCTTTAGGGTTTGTGATTCCCAAACTTTGGGGTGCATCTGCATTGTGGAATTAATGCAGTTTAATAATAATAATAATGATGACAAGGAAAGCCAAGTACCTGCTTTAATCGAAGTCAATAATCGAAAACTTCTCAAAGCACAGCAGACCAAGAACCAGTACAAGAAAACTGCACTCCAAACCAGAGCTGACAGCTGGCACAACAAAGCATTGCATGGGCAGTTCCTTGACAAAATTGAAGGAAAAAGTCACTAATCGAGAACTTCTCAAAGCACAGCAGACAAAGGACCAGTACAAGAAAACTGCACTTCAAACTAGAGCTGACAGCTGGCACAACAAAGCATTGCATGGGCAGTTCCTTGACAAAATTGAAGGAAAAAGTCACTAATCGAAAACTTCTCAAAGCACAGCAGACAAAGGACCAGTACAAGAAAACTGCACTTCAAACTAGAACTGACAGCTGGCACAACAAAGCATTGCATGGGCAGTTCCTTGACAAAATTGAAGGAAAAAGTCACTAATCGAAAACTTCTCAAAGCACAGCAGACAAAGGGCCAGTACAAGAAAACTGCACTTCAAACTAGAACTGACAGCTGGCACAACAAAGCATTGCATGGGCAGTTCCTTGACAAAATTGAAGGAAAAAGTCACTAATCGAAAACTTCTCAAAGCACAGCAGACAAAGGGCCAGTACAAGAAAACTGCACTTCAAACTAGAACTGACAGCTGGCACAACAAAGCATTGCATGGGCAGTTCCTTGACAAAATTGAAGGAAAAAGTCACTAATCGAAAACTTCTCAAAGCACAGCAGACAAAGGGCCAGTACAAGAAAACTGCACTTCAAATCAGAACTGACAGCTGGCACAACAAAGCATTGCATGGGCAGTTACTTGACAAGATTGAAGGAAAGGTTGACAGGGAGAAGACCTGGTTATGGCTCACGAATGGAACACTTTTATTTATTTATTTGTCATGTCAGAGCAACCAGTCTGCTATATTACATTTCTAATAGAACAAAGCAAACAGACAAATAAAAAATTTGCGAGTTTGGTAGTTGGTTAAATGTCCTTTGACCAGTATCTGGCCACTTGGAGTGCCTCTGGTGTTGCTATAAGAAGGTCCTCCATTGTGCATGTGGCAGGGCTCAGGTTGCATTGCAGCAGGTGGTCTGTGGTTTGCTCTTCTCCACACTCGCATGTCGAGGATTCCACTTTGTAGCCCCATTTCTGAAGGTTGGCTCTGCATCTCGTGGTGCCAGATCGCAGCCTGTTCAACGCCTTCCAAGTCGCCCAGTCGGGAGTCTCTCATTTGGTATCAGCCATTGGTTGAGGTGCTGGGTTTGAGCCTGCCACTTTTGGACTCTCGCTTGCTGAGGTGTTCCAGCGAGTGTCTCTGTAGATCTTAGAAAACTATTTCTAGATTTAATTCATTGACGTGCTGGCTGATACCCAAACAGAGGATGAGCTGGAGATGTCTCTGCCTTGGTCCTTTCACTATTGGCTGCTACTTCCCGGTGGGGGACATGAGAGAAGCCTCCTCGCAGGATTGCAAGACATCCGGGCGTCCCCTGGGCAACGTCTTCGTAGACGGCTGATTCTCTCACCACAGAAGCGACCAGCATGCAAGCAAGCAAGCAAATAATGATGATGATGACAAGGAAAGCCAAGTACCTGCTTTAATCGAAGTCACTAATCGAAAACTTCTCAAAGCACAGCAGACAAAGAACCAGTACAAGAAAACTGCACTCCAAGCCAGAGCTGACAGCTGGCACAACAAAGCATTGCATGGGCAGTTACTTGACAAGATTGAAGGAAAGTTGACAGGGAGAAGACCTGGTTATGGCTCACGAATGGAACCCTGAAGAAGGAAACAGAAGGCCTGATTCTTGCAGGAGCAAGCCATCAGAACAAATGCAATAAAGACCAGGATCGAAAAATCAGCTGATGACTGTGTAAGGAAGCTGATGAAACCATTGATCATATCTTCACCTGCTGCAAGAAAATCGCACAGACGAACTATAAACAGAGGCACAACTCTGTGGCGCAAATGATTAACTGGAACTTGTGCCACAAGTATGACCTGCCAGTAGTAAAGAACTGGTGGGATCATAAACCTGCAAAGGTAGTGGAAAATGAACACGCAAAAAATACTGTGGGACTTTCGAATCCAGACTGACAAAGTTTTGGAACACAATAAGGCAGATATCACGATTGTGGAAAAGAAAAAAATCTGGATTATTGATGTCGCCATACCGGGTGACAGTTGCATTGAGGAACAATAACAGAAAAAACTCAGCCGCTCTCAAGACCTCAAAATGGAACTGCAAAGGCTCTGGCATAAACCAGTGCAGGTGGTCCCAGTGGTCATCGGCACACTGGGTGCCGTGCCAAAAGATCTCAGCTGGCATTTGGAAACAATAAACATTGACACAATCGTGATCTGTCAACTGCAAAAGGCCACCTTATTTGGATCTGCACGCATCATTCAAAAATCCATCACACAGACCTAGACCCTTGGGAAGTGTTTGCTGTTGCCTAATAACGCAACACAGACCATTATACCACACTTGCATTCCAGGTGAAAGATATATTTCCAAAAATTAGATCTCTTTGGGCTTGAGCCTAAACCCTCCACTACATGTTTAATGTCGGAACTATATATAAAGATTGCATGCTTTCACTCTTCCCAATCCCTTTTGGGAGTATTCCAGCATATCTCCACTGTAAACTCTTATTCAGGATTCCCCCAAATTCCGGATCCCCCCAAATTAAGGTTAAGACATGGGAGATATGGCAATAGCTATCCAGATGGTGCTGGACCCAGCTTCCAATAGTATGCCCAGTGGTCAGGGATGAGAGGAATTATGCTCCAAAAGCACCTGGAACAGGCATGGGCAAACTTCAGCCCTCTGGGGTGGACTTCAACTCCCATAAAGCCTAAGAGCCGGTAGGCAGTTAGGAATTGTGGGAGTTCAAGTCCAAAACACCTGGAGGGCCAACGTTTGCCAATGCCCAATCTGGAATGTGATACATTCCCCACCTGTAAGATAGGCGATGTTTTGTCTACTTACCAGTCTACATATGGAATGTACCTCATTAGGCCAGGAAGTGCTATTTCATCTTTTGTTGTTAATTCATTTAGTTCCTTCTGACTATTCGTGACCTCATGGACCAGCCCACACCAGAGCTCCCTGTCATCACCCCCAGCTCCTTCAAGGTCAAGCCTGTCACTTATTTCATCTAAGATATTGTATGTTATTACTTTACTTCAAGACAAAGTAGGCTATACTGTGATCCCACTGGAGTATAGTTCCAGGATGAAGGAATAACCTTTTAGGATACTGTACTATACAATATAGTAATACATTCCTCTAGAGCAGCGTTTCCCCCGAGGGGGGGGGGTCACAAGGGGGTGCCAGAGGGCTCGCCAAAAACCATCAGAAAACACAGTATTTTCTGTTGGTTATGGGGCTTCTGTGTAGGAAGTCTGGCCCAATTCTATCATTGGTGGGGCTCAGAATGCTCTTTGATTGTAGAAAAACTATAAATCCCACCAACTACAACTCCCAAATGTCAAGTTCTATTTTCCCCAAACTCCGCCAGTGTTCACATTTCAGCATATTGAGTTTTCATGCCAAGTTTGGTCCAGATCCATCATTGTTTGAGTCCACAGTGTTCTCTGGATGTAGATGAACTACAACTATAAAACTCAAGGTCAATGTTCACCAAACCTTTCCAGTATTTTTTGTTGTTCATGGGAGTTCTGTTTGACAAGTTTGGTTCAATTCCATCATTGGTGGAGTACAGAATGCTCTTTGATTGTAAGTTAACTATAAATCCCAACAACTACAACTCCCAAATGACAAAACCAATACTTCCCCCAACCTCACCAGTATTCAAATATGTGCATATTGGGTATTTGTGCCAAATTTAGTCAAGTGAATGAAAATACATCCTGCATATCAGATATTTACATTACGATTCAAAACAGTAGCAAAATTCCAGTTATTAAGTAGCAATTAAAATTATTTTATGGTTGAGGGTCATCACAACATGAGGGAGTGTATTAAGGGATCATGGCATTAGGAAGGTTGAGAAACACTGCACTAGAGAAAACTGAAATACTGATACCCACTTGCTGACTCTATTAAAAGCAGGGTTATATCAGTATTACGATTTGCAATGCAACTGTTCTGTTTTGGACAATTTCTAATTAATATGAAGGAAAATGGAAGACTTATAGGTCTCTGCCCCCACCCCACCCTATGCAAAATATCCAGTCACCAGCTAGCATTAATTTTTATGCTTTGTAACGAATGGGAAATCCTGTCTCACTCTAAATGTAATTCGATTGGAAATGCCATCATTTTTTATCAGTGCATCCAATGGCGAGAAAAGCTAGATGCTGTAGTCCAACAGTCTTTGGAAGAATGCATGATTCTCACTCAGGGTTTATAATAGTGATCAAAGCTTTTGAGAGCAGTAAGAAAACATTTCACAAAACATCAACAAAAGGAAACTGCCAGTATTGCCATAGTTGTAGAACAGTCAAAAGCTGCAGAAATATATTTTTCAGTTATCATATAATCATAAAAGTGGGAGGAGACCCCAGATGCCAGTCAGTCCAACCCTCTGCCATGCAGGAAAAGGACAATCAGAGTACCCCTGGTAGAAGAAGATCTGGCCTCTGTTCAAA